GGAGGGGGGAGGTGACAGTGCGGCTGTAACGACTGAGCCGGGTCAGAAGAGAGTTCTGTGGTAAAAGGCCGGCCGGGGCAGGCGCACGGGTGAGGGGTGCCCAGGGGAATCGCCTCTGGCCCGGCAACAGCCAGGAAAATGTGCGGAAAAAGGACGTCGAAAGCGAGAACGGGGTCGCCCAGCTCCTCTGGGTGGGAGCCTGTTGGGCTGGGAGGCTGCTGCGAGGCAGCACGGCTGCAGGAGGGCGTTGGTACGGGGAGCAGGTGCGAGCAGAGGGTTTCAGGTGAGGAGAAGGCTGGAGATGGATGTAAGAAGGTGCATGGAGAAGTAGGAGGTTACAGGAGACTGTAGGAGGCAAAACAGCGAAAGCAGTAGGGAAGGCGTAGCATTTAGGGAAAGGTGGGATGAAGGGAACTGAGGTTTGAAAATTGAGGATTTTCTCAGCAGTAACAGTCTTGACAGGGTTGTCACTCCTGTGCCCCCAGGTTTATTAGCTTCAGGACACTGATAATTGATTTGGTCATGAGCCTGTAAGCATGTACTGTGTGCTGTGGTTGGTGAGGAAAGGTGCTGAGCAGAGACACGGCCTTTTCAAGGGAAGCCAGCTTGGTTTTTTTTTACTTGATGAGATGAAGGAGTTACAGCATATTAATGGCCAAGCTCCCTGCAGGATTCATGGCAAAGGATGGTTTTAAGGAGGAGTTTGAGGGTAGTTTGTAAAGCTACCCCAGAGTGCAGGACACCAGAGGAGAAAGAACAGAGGCACTCATTTAAAAATCTTGCAAATGGATGGTGGAAGTAGACTTCGAGGGGGCTGAGCAATAGTGAGACCTGAACTCTCCATAAGAAGTGAGGTGGGGGTAGTCTCTGAGGTCTTGGGAAATGAAGAGGAGCAGTTTCAGGCTGCCGCTGTGGAAAAGGAGGAGCTGGCAGATGGAAGCAGCATGGGTGTTATGTTGGTGTAACGAGCTGGAAAAATGCACTTTGCAGAGATGTTCTGGTGGAGACTGGCGGGGTGAGACTGTGCTCCTTGAGGCCAAAGGAAAGCATGTTGCAGCAATCAAAACACAAGCTGACAGGGGCGTGGGTGGGAGTTTTAGCTGGTTTGGAAGCTTGTAAAAAACATATGGAGCCATTAAAATCTGAAGACCTAGAGGGTGATCTACATTGAAGATGATACACAGGTTGTGGATAAAGATTAAGGAAGCAGGTACAAAGTATGTGCTCTCCTGGCAGGTGCAGTAGCATCCGGGACAGGTTAACCCCATCAGCTCCTTTCCAGAACTGCATTTGCTGGAAGTGGTGTAGTTTTGCTGTTCTGTTGTTTCCTAGGCATAATGCTGGATTTTGCCCGTTCTTTGGGCAAGTTGTTTCAGTTGGTAGCTCTCAAAAATCGCATGAGATTGCATGGAGGCCTCATGTGGCTGTTGACAAAGCAAGATAATAACCTTATATGCTAATATGGAAAATCAGATTTTGGACTAGTAAGTTTTTTCATCCAACAATCTCCTATCATGTTATTTTAAAAACTCTGTGTTGAAAAGTTTTAACACAGATCCACAATTATTATGGTTCTTCTTTTTGAAATATTTGTGGTTGCATCTTCTCCATGAATGGGGAAAGGAGTAAGTTTTCTCAAGTAGTGAATTAACTGGGTGATAGAAGTCCTGATGTTTGTTTGCCTGTTAATGTGAACCTTTTAAACATGAGTATTCTAGTGGATGCAGTAAGAAAAGGTTGTGAACATGTAATTATAGGGGGGGAAAAAAAATCATGATCACAACAGGAATAATTTTAAGGAAGAAAGCCCAGGCAGATGTATTAATACACATTAATTTACAGATTAATTCTTGTGATCAGAATCTGAACCGATGCTGTGAAATAATAGAATTGAACTCTGAGATTCAAGGGCAGCTCTTCACAATCCTCAATGAAACATCTCGGGAAGGTAAGTCAGTGCCTTTTCTTATTACTAACACATTTCACACATGTAATCTTTTCAAGCTCTGGCTCTTTCTCTAAGTGTTCTCACAATTTCCTAATGTATGTATTTTCTTAGGTGGGCATTATGCAGGTGTGGAAACAATAAAAACTCGTCTCCTGCCATGGCTAGGGACTTGTTTTTCCTGTACTTCTTCAGGAAGGCTTGTTGAAACCAACCTCTCTCTCACTCAGGTATGTAGGAAATGTATTTTAAGGGAATAGAGTGGTGTGAATTTATACCTGCAGGAGAACTTTAATGACTTTCTGTTAGTAATAGCCTCCGTCCTTGATTTTGCTTGATGAAATATGTCCTTAGTTGCTCATGGAGACAACTATGCTATTTCTCTATCTCATCTTATGTTTCCTTTGAAAGGGAAATCGAAGAAGTCATTAAAGTTACACTTGGCCTTCTAGGGCTCATGCTGTTTCACAACAGGGAGTGACAAATGGAGGAATTTGCTTTGTAAGAGAAGCTCTGTTCTTGTACTGCTTTCCTTTTCTAGCTAAAGAATTATGTCTTTGCAAATGTAAATGTAGCATCATAGAAATATTTATGCTGTATCTCTGTTAGTAAAAACCTAATGCTATGGGAAAATACATGTGTAAGCTGAAGGTGTGTGTAAACTCCATGCATTTATCTGTGAGCTCCTTTTATTTTTATTTTTTAAGAAAAAAGTCTTTGTTTAGTATCTCAGCATTATAATATCTCCAGAAGGGGGGAAAAAAAAAATGCTCGTGTCTGTAGGGTTTCTAAGAGCAAATGGACATTCTGAAGTTGATCAAGTATTATAACCATTATAACCAAGTGTGTGCAATGATAGCTTTTTATCAGTTTAAGAACATATAAGTTAAGCTTTAAGTTTGTGGCTTGTGGTTTTTTTAAGTACTGATAAGTTATACTTATAAGTTAAGCTTTAGGTTTTTCTGTTTCTAAAAAGAAAAGAGGAGAATTGTGGGGAGTGTGGGAACGTGTATTGGCATACCCTGAGAGAACTGTGGGAGCTGAAGGGATACATGTCTGGAGATATGAGAAACACCTGTGTCGACAAGTTATGAGAAAGGAACCTTGAAGTGTATCCAAAAGATGTACCCGGGCAAGCAAACAGGGAGGGATGCACACAGAGTCCATCAGCCAATTAGGGGCATGTGAACTGCTCGTGCTGCGACTGAAGAGCCAAGAACATGTTAACGGGTGTGGGTGATTTCATTAGTTTTGGGGTATAAGTATAACTGTATTAGAACAAATAAATGGCTTCTTGCTTGATCATATTGATCGTGTAGCAGAGTCCATGACTGAGTTCCTGCACATGTCCATCATGATACCACCATGTGCCTGACTTGATGTTTGGAGTTAGTATGCATTTGATACTTACTGAAGGGGTTGTAGTATTAACAGTTTGGCAGAAAAGACACATCTGCTGTGGCTTTGTGCTTTGAAAGAAGACAAGAGCATTGACTGATGCAGACAAGGGGAAAATATTGAAGATCTTGAGATGTGATAGCGATGTCTCCGTGTTCTCTGACTTCTCATTTTTACACCTCTTCTGTCAAAATCTCTCACAATTAACATAAAGATAAATGAAAAGTGATATCCCTCAAGAGTCAGATTCTAGTGTATTGTGGGAGTAAGGTTCTGCCAAAAAAACCCAAAATGTAAAATAATTATGTTATTAAATGATAGTACACCTGGTATACCAGTTATGGAGTTGTCATTGCACATGACATTCAAAATTTAAAGAAAAGCCTGCTGCACAGTTACTTAATTCCAGTAGTATCAGGCAAATCTACAGGTTCTTAAAGACAGGGCTGCATGTCTAGTAGTGTCCTTTCTGGAATGACAATCATTGCCTCCTCTGTTCTAATAACTTTTTCTGTTATTTTGTGTACACAAATTCCCAAAAACCCTACTTGAGTTGGTGATAGAGTCAGTCAGAAGATGACTGACTGGAAAAAACCTGATGCAACACATCTGGAAGAACACTTTGTTCAGGTGATGTGTATACAGGTAGCAAATGTGCATATGCAGACCTTCCATATTCTCTATCATGAGGTGTAAATGGAGTGAATATTTTTCCTAATATAATTGAGTCTCTGTTTTGTGTGCCTGGAAGGTATTGCTTATGTCTCTAGAAAGTATGCAATTGCTTTTGTTTTCAGTTATTTTAGAAAAGGTCTTTACTGAAGTATTTAGAAATACATCTGCTAATAATGCTGTCCTACGCTGCTGAAGGATTCTGTAAGGTAGAACATTCAAGCAGCGTGATTTTGTGTTTTGTCGTAGGATTCAATTGAGAAAGAAAGGCAGCTGAGAGACCTGGCCAACAATCAGACTTTTCAACTGCAAGAGCTGCAGGAAGAACTGACTTCAACTCGTCTACAGCTCAACCATATGCAAGAAGAGTAAGGGAATTAGCTGTGATTCTTTTTGTTTGTTTGTTTTTCAACAAGCCATATTTTTCTCTTGACATCTAAATACTGATGGAGATTTGTCAAATGTTTTATTTCTGGCTTAAAATCAGAGCTTCAAAATACATCTAGTCTCTGGATTATCTGTCTGTGTCTGAAGTGGGATGCAAATGACACAGTCACACCTGCATTCATAAGTTGACTTGGTAGGTTTTACTTCTGGCAGAGGAGTTGGAAAACGTGCCATTGTTCTAGACAGGGTTTTGTACAGTGTGTGACCATCCCCGTGGAATTATAGTCAATGAAGTGCCTCATGCTGAGCAAACCTGGGTAAAAATCGATTGAGTAGCTATAGGGCAACACTTATTGAAGGACCATTAATTATGGTACGTAATCAATATGTGAACATCTAAGGAGATCAAAACCCACAGTGGTAAGATGGAGGAAGAAAGAGAGACAGAATTTCAATTAAGTGACTAGGACTGAACATTTTTTATCCAGTTGCATAAAACACATTTTTGTGGAGCACTGTAGTCTCAAAAGGACTTAATTGCTTCAGAAACAAATTTGTACAGTTAGTGCCAGTTCCAGGGCTGTTTCAGAGGTAGCTCCAGGTGACAGACACTTTCTTATGCATCCTATTAGCATAAGAACAATGAATGTTCACAGTCTTTGGGTCCGTACAATAAGTGATATAATTTAATGGTCTTACTAGGTGATTCCAAGAATACCAAGTTCTCAGATCTGCAAACTATATTAGTTAGATTAGAGGAAAGAGGTTCAATAGAATATTTCATTCTGTATCCTAGTCTTGCAGATATCTCCTGCTTTCATAGAACTGTAGAATCATAGAATGGTTTGAGTTGGAAGGGACAAAGATACCTAGTCCAACCCCCCTGCTGTTGGGAGGGACGTCTTCCACTAGATTAAGTTGCTCAAAGACCCACCCAGCCTGACTTTGAAGACTTCCAGGATGGAGCACCCGCAAGTTCTCAGAGCAACCTGTTCCAGTGTCTCACCACCCTCATAGTAAAGAATTTCTCCCTTAGATCCAATCTAAATCTTCTCTCTTTTAGTTTAAAACCGTTATCCTTTGTCCTATCACTAGGACGGGGGTAGAAAGTAAAGCCTGTCTCCATCTTTCTTATAAGCTTGCTTCAAGTATTGAAACGCTACAATAAGGTCTTCCTGAAGCCTTCTCTTCTGCAAGCTACACAATCCCAGCTCTCTCAGTCTTTTTTCATAGGAAAGGTGTTCTAACCCTCTGATCATTTTTGTGGCCCTCCTCTCAACCTGCTCTAACAGATCCATGTCTGTCTTCTACTGGTGTCCTGGTTTTGCTAGGCTAGAACTAATTTTCTTCTTAGTAGTTAGACTAGCACTGTGTTTTGGTTTCAGTATGGGATTTCTTATGAAAAGAATGTTCGTAATATACTGATGTTTTTAGTTGTTACTAAGAAAATCAAGGACATTCCAGCTTCCCATGGTTTGCCTGGCTGTAGGTGCAGAAGAAACTCAGGGTGCGCGTAGTAAATTAGCAAACCCAAACTGGCATTTGGCTGTGCCAATGGGATATTCCATTAGTGTGTAATGGCATGTTCAGTATATTAATGAGGATTGGCTGGATCTAGGGGACTGCTCAGGCTCGCTCTCTTCTGGGATTGCCGTTTCAGTTTTGGGATTGTCTCTGCTCTGGAATTGATAGCTGGGGAATGGGCTGGGCATCAGTCAGCGGGTGGTGAGCAATTGTGCTGTGTATCACTCATTTGTATATTTCATTATTACTGTTATTATTATTTCATTTAAATTATTAAATTGTTTTTATCTCAACCCATGAGTTTTCTCGCCTTTACCCTTCTGATTCTCTCCCCCATCACTGGGAAAGTGTGAGTGAGTGGTTGTTTCGCATTTGGCTGCCAGCCAGGCTAAAACCCACCACAACTGGGGACCTCAGAGCTGGCTGCCATACTCTCGGTGGGGTCTCATGAAAGAGGAGTAGAGGGGGAGGATCACTGCCCTTGACCTGCTGGCCACGCTTCTTTTTATACAGTCCAGGATACGGTTGGCTTTTTGGGCTGCAAACGCACCCTGCCAGCTCATTTCTAGTTTTTCATCTACCACTCTCTCCAAGTCCTTCTCCACAGGGCTGCTCTTAATCTACTTTTTCCCCTGAGTCTGTACTGGTGCTGGTGATTGCCCTGACCCAGGTGCAGGACCTTGCACTTGGCCTTGTTGGACTTGATGAGATTCACATGAACCCACTCCTCAAGCCTGTCAAGGTCCCTCTGGATGGCATCCGTTCCCTCAAGAGTATCAGCTTCACCACTCAGCTTGTCATCCACAAACTTGCTGAGAGTCCGACCCTGCACTCAGTGGGAGCACTCAATGCTGTCAATGATATTGAACAGTACCAGGCCCAGTACAGACCCCTGTGGGACACCGGTTATCACCGATCTCTATTTGAACATGGAGCTGTTGACTGCAACTCTTTGGGCATGGCCATCCAGCCAGTTCCTTGTCCATCAATTAGTCCATCCGTCAAACTCATATCTCGCCAATTTAGAGACAAGGATGTTGTGTGGGACCATGTCAAAGGCCTTATAGAAGGCAAGGGAGATTACATCAACTGCTCTTCCCTTATTCACCAATGCATATTACTGTTATGTCTCCTCTTGGATGAATGTGAGCATTCTAATTTTTCACTATCAAAAAAGTTTCTCAGTCAACTTTGAATGAGTTAAAGATCGATGCACCCCCCTGAAAAGAAGATAAGAGGACAAAAAAATCTTGTGATCTCGCAGTATACATTCAGTATCAAAAGTGACAGGGTGAGACAGAGAATGACCCCACAACATTTGGAAGAAAAGAGAGGTTTTTTGTTCTTGGCATTTCAGATGGCTTGCCAGAATTAGGTAATCTTGCAAAATAATTCCAGCCTGGAACGTTTAATAAGCAAGGAAGTAGTTTTCTGTTGATATTTCCAACTATAGAGTTATGAGAGATTGATGGATCTTATTAATATATATACCTGAAGGGGGGGGAGTAAAGAAGACAGAGCCAGGCTATTTCCAGTGCTGACCAGTTGTGTTGGGTTTGTGTGTGTGGGGGCCGTTATTTTGGCAATGGGGGAAGGGCCAGCTTGTGAGAGCGAAAAGCTCCCCTGGCTCCAAGGCGGAGACCCCCCAGCCCAGGCTGGGCCAATGAGCACTAGAGAAACACCTCTGCAAACCCGTATTTGTGAGGGGAAGGACTGTTCTGAAAAGAAGAAGGTGGAGAGAACCTGGAGGAGAGGAACACCACCAAGCAACAGCGATACTAATGAAAGAATATACAGTGTAACAAATGATACACGGAACCAAACGGCTCACCACCCGACTGGCTCCTGGACCGCGGTACCAGCACCTCCCTCTTCCTGGAACTTCCCTGTTTAAATTCAGAGCATGATGTCACGTGGTATGGAATGCCTGCTTTGACCCATTTGGATTAGCTACCCTGGCTGCTCCCAGTTCCCTGTGAACAATTAACTCTATCCTAACCAAACCCAGGACACCAGTGATAGAACCAGAGGCAGTGGTCACGAACTGAAGCACTGGAAGTTCCCTCTGAACATCAGGAAACACTTTTTTACTGTAAAGATGACTGAGTACTGGCACAGGTTGCCCAGGAAGGTTGTGGACTCTCCATCCTTGGAGATATTCAAAAGCCATCTGGACATGGTCCTAGGCAACTGGCTCTGAGTGGCTCTGCTTGAGCTGATGACCTCCAGAGGCCCCTTCCAACCTCAGCCATTCTGTAGTTCAGGTATATACAAAGGTTGGTTTAGGGGTGAGGCATTTCATCCTGTGTGGATAGAAAGAGATGATTTGATGAGCTGGAGAGGAGTGTTGGATTGTCAAGGTGAGAAGTATAAGGAAAATTATTCACTAATACAGAGTGGAGTGAGTGTGTGGCAGCTTGTAGGTCAAGAAAAAGTAATTTTGGGCTAGCTCCTGCAAGAAGTGGGAAATCAGTAGTAAAGCTTTTTTACAGTTTTATGGGTTGCATTTCTCTGTGCAGTCAGGTTAGGGAGGTGTTGGCTGTGGTTTGCAAGAGTAGAAGTCTGGAAGGTGGAGGGTTGGGAAGAGGTAATTCAAACAGAGGTGAAATTGTGAGTGAAAATTTCAGAACTGATCCTTTCAAGGTGATGCAGTGTGGAGTCATGATTGTGTAGTTATTGGCAGGCAGGGGACAGGCGCAGGAGAAAGAGAATTCATGTCCCAGGATAACCCATCTGTGGACAGTGAGGTAATTCTGAATACTGTAAATTGCTGAAATCAATGGAATTGAGTCTTAATGAAAAGTAATGGATCATAGCGAAAGAATTCTGTTACTGCATAGTTAGATATGACTCTTATAATCTATTTGTGTGCTGATAGTCTGCACAAAGCCCACTGTGATTGTTTTCAGGTATTAAACTGATATGGACTTGATTTGCTTAAACAGTCAGTTTGTCATATTAAATTCTCTGGTAGAATCTCTGCCTTTACCATGATGGTTATTAATTTTTCTTACAGTCTGGCAAGAACCCAGTTGGCTCTTGAAGACACAAAGACCAAATCAGCCAGTACTCTTTTGGCAGCAGAAGATGAAATTGTTCAGCTAAAAGCAGCGTAAGAAAAAATGAATCTTGGGGTATTTGTGGCAGAAAGTCAGCATGCAGAGACACAGTCTGTCATTTACCTGAGGGGGTTCTACACTGTTTCAGTTTATTCTACACTGTCCTATGCTATAGCAAAAAAATAGGTCTAGCTCCTTAACATCCTGTAACTTTGTTTCTTGGTGTTATATAGAGAGAATTGGCATAAGTAGATCCATGTGAGAAGAACCCTTGTGGCTGAACTTCTATCCTTTTTTCTTTAGGATAGAGGGAGGATTACTCTGAAACTAGCAGCTTGATAGCATTTGAATATTGTAGGTGAAGTTAAATAGGAGAGAGCCCTATTCTGAATATAGCTGGAAACAGTTGCAATTTGCTATGATGCTCTTGGAGGTAGCATGTGTGTTAAATAAAAGACACTTTGGTCTGTCTATCTTAAGATATGGCTTTTTCTCTCAGACCACTTTTGCCAAATCCTTTTGCATGTCTGCAAAGAAGTAATGGCTATTGTTAATATTGTTGTCTCTGTTTTAAAAGTGGTTTTTGAGCTTCTAAGTGTGTTGGTCACATCCAAGAAGTTAATCTGGATCAGTAAGGGTGCAGGTGGGGGACCTACCTTTCCATTTCAATACAGGGGTCCTTAAAAATAAATTAGTTTTGTGGCTTGACTGATAGGCAGTTCTAGAAGCAGTAATAATTCTTCACTGTTAGGAAATGTAGCCTATGTCTGGGGTTTTTTTTGTTTGTTTGTTTGTTTGTTTTTTTGTGTGTGTGATATTATCACAAAAGAATACAAAGGTAGTTGAAGTTAATTCCAACGGCATTTGAATTCTTGTAATAACTGACACTTCAACAACAGAAATATAGTCATACTTGTTAAATAAATGCTTGCAGCCTTTCAGTTATATACCACTGCTGCTCTTAAAAAATGGAGGAAACTTGACTTTGCTGCTTATGCTGTGGGAAAGGATATAACTGTCCACGAGTTTATCTTTCCTTTTAGGGCCACTGAGAGGTTAAGCTACTCCTGATAAAGATAAGCAAGCAAAATATTTCAGGCCATTAGAGTTTCTACTTCCAATATCAAGTGAAAATAACTTGCTCATCTCTGGATATTTATCATTGCTTCTAGTATAAAGTTGTCAGATTTAATCCATGGACTTTCCTAACAAGTGTAAATCACTTTGGATTTTAGTTTTTTATACCTGGGGTATAAACTCATATTTCCATAAAATGGGCTCTTTTGATTTGTTGGGTGAAAACTAGCTCAGGTAACTCCTTGATTCTTAGATATAACCTGACTGCTGTCTTCCCAATTAGAACTATTAGTAGGGAATAAAGCATCTCACAATTCCCATGTGTAGGTCTTAATGCAGACTGGACAGAAATTCATGTTGCCATTTGTACTACTGACAGAAGAATAAAACATTCCTGTCTTCCCATAAATTCAGGAATTCTGTAATCTCCACATACTTATGGTTCCATGTTGGCTCTCAGTCTAGTTGTCACTCTAGGTTTGTACCTTCTGCCTGGGTGTTCAACTTTTGGTTGAAGCAAATGTACTGTTTTTCATGTTCTGTGAATCATCTTTTCAAAATTAGAACCCTTTTAGTTGGGTGAAATCAGATTTGCCTGGTCTTCACCTGCCTGTCAAAAACAGCATTCTTCTAAAAGTAGAGAAAGTGAGGTCAGGAGAAAGAAAGACACTGATCTGTGATCTTAGGGCAGGATTTATTTCTCTTTTACACAAGGAACAGTTTGCCAGGAGTATCCTTTGCATCTCTGTTTGCAAACTTGTTTTTTGAGACTTTTGGAATAGAGCTGCTGATCTCATTCGTCTTCTCTCTAGTCTGTCTGTCTCACATATTTAAATCAAAGCATGTATTGTAAAATATCTTGGTCTCCTGGGCTGTTAGAACAAATGTGGTCTAGACTCAATATAATTAAATTCTATAGCCATTATAAGCTTTTGTTATATCAAGATATTAATTATAACAGAATTTAGCTATTTGCTGCAGAATTATGAAGGAAAATACATTTTTTTTTAAAAATAATGATCAACATTTAAAAGTAATTGGAAGTTCTTTGGAGAGGATAAAATAAAGTATACTAAAAACTGTTGTTATATGCAGACTGAACAAAATCCTATTAGTACTATTATAAATGGAAGTTTACTTCTAGTGTGCTAAGAATCATGCCAAGGTCTAATCAAACTTAAGAAAGCAAGACAACTCACTTGGAAGTAAATGAGGTGAAGAGGAATTTTCTTTCTTGATCTGCTTTACAGAGGAACCTGTTATATATATTGTCAGTAAGAAATTTTGGTAAACATGGTTTTAATTAATAGCAGCCAATATGGTAGATTGAATCAGTTATGTCAAGACCTTGTAGTGTCACTGTTGCAGGAGGCTTTTAAAAATAGATTAAACAGGCATCTGGCAAAAAATTGCATAGGTGTAGTTGTTCTTGACTTGAATTTCAAGGCAATCTGACATTTAATGAGTCAGGCTTAGCCAAAGGACTGGGGGAACCGTGAGGGACTTTATCACAGAATCACGGAATTGCCTAGATTAGAAAAGACCTTTAAGATTGTGTTGGGTTTGTGTGTGTGTGGGGGCCGTTTTTGGTAGTGGGGGAAGAGGCTATCCTGTGAGAAGCTTTGTGAAGCTCCCCTGGCTCCAAGGCGTACCCGCCTCAGCCCAGGCTGAGCCAATGAGCGCTACAGAAACACCTCCACAAATCCATATTTGTGAGGAGAAGGACTGTCTTGAAAAGAAGAAGGAGAGAACCTGGAGGAGAGACTATTGACCTGAACAAAAGACGACCATTGGCTTAAACAAAGAGGGAGCTTCATTGCCAGGAGGAAGGAGAAGGAGGGGAGGACAGAGAACCTCAGACACCCAGTTCAACCTGATGGAGTAGGAGAAGGTAAAGGAGGTCCCTGCAGCCTATGGAAATTCAATGGTGGAGCAGAGACCCACATGTAGAGCACGGAGGACTCCACACTGAAGCAGAAAGCTGAGCCCAAGGGCAAGTGTGACTGAATTGAGACCACACTGATGCTGGGGTGGACTCTTCGGAGCTGGGGGGTGAGGATAGGTGCTGGACCGGAGGCCCATCTGCAGCCCATGGATGTTCCCATGCCAGAGCTGGGAGCTGAACCCAAAGAGGTCCTTGACTCCATGGGAAACTTGCGTTGAAACATCTTGTTCCTGGACTTCCATGCCGGGAAGAGCAGCAGAAGTGAACTGACTGTAACCCCCATTCCCTATCCCCTGTGCTGCTGTGGGGGGAGAAGGCAGAGAAGTCGGGAGCAAAGTGATTTGAGCCCGGGAAGAAGGGAGGGGTGGGGGAAGGTGTTGTAATAAGATGTGATTGTTTTGTCTCACTGTGCTACTCGGATGATTGGTAATGAATTAAATTGATTTTTCTTCCCCAAGTTTGAGTCTGTTTTGCCCGTGACCATAACTGGTGAGTGAGCTGTCCCTGTCCTTCATTCCTAATCCTGTGGCCCCTTTGTTCTGCCTCCCATCCCATCTCACCGGGTGGGGGGAGTGAATGCAGAACCACATGGTCCTACTGTGGGTTAAACCACAATAAGCTTTGTGGATCTTACAGCAGTGAGATAAAGATCATTAAAAATTGCTTTAAAACTTTCTGTAAAATCCCCATGTGAATAGGGGTAAATAACAAAAAGAAAAAAATAGAGAACTGCAATTATTACTATTTATTTATCCTTTCTGTTGTAAAGTTACTAACACTGCATTTTCTGTCTGCATTGTCCATCATGGCAATTTAAGGAAAGCCTGACTAGTGTTTTATATTATAAAGGTTGGTTTGGGGTTTTTTTGGTACATAATGATTTTATCCCATCTCTATCTCTAGAACTTGTCTTCCCAAATCTATTTTCCTCTCCCATTTGTTCTTTATATTAGAATTCTTTAGCCTTCTTCTACTACAATTCTGCTAGAAGTCCTTGCTGGAGGAGCTGACTAAGGATGTCCATGGGATTGTAATCTGCTGCTTTTCTTACCCAGGTTAGAAGGACAGTCCTTCCTCTTAGCCAGGTGTGCTGGCCTTATTACCTGTGCTCCGCTCAGTCAGCCTGCTCCTTAAAAAGTTGGAACAGGGAGCTTGTCAATTGGTAGATGTTACAGCTTCCCCTGGTTCAGATCCTCAAAGATTTCACCAGAGTCCTTCCATAAAGAAAAGGAAGGACAGACTGAAGGCCTCCAAAATGAATAGAAAACATTTTTTTTCTTTTGAAAGAGGAAAACAGCAATAATATCTGTATTAGGAGAAAAAGCAGAGATGTTGGGATAGTTTCTAACATTACGTAAAAGTAAAGGGTAAACTTGCTTAACTGGTTGTTTGCCAATGTTTAAGAAACACTGCTTCTCTTGCACAGAGCAGGAGAGGAATCATTAGCTTTTGATATTACTTGAATAACGTAATTGGTGATATCCTTTGACTGACTAATATATTCCAGCAAAGAAAAGAACCCAAGGACCTGATATAAGAAAATACCTAGTGTCTTAAACTGTAGGAAACAAAACAGAGTTGGTTAACATCCTAAATATGAGAAAGAAACCAGTTTCTTTCTTAGACCTCATCATCTGAGCTAGTGCAAGGACACCAAATGTTAACCAGTAATCTCTCCTGTAACATAGTGTATCTAGTCTCCTGCCAAGGTACACTTTCACATTTTAAAGTGTAATTAAAAGTATGCTTTGGAGTATGCTCTGGATTTCCCTGTATTTCAGCATAAGGAACTTGATCAATATTTCTCCTATTTTTCTGTTCTTTTTGTTTGATGATGAGGATTAACTGATAGATGGTTTGCATTGGTAGAAGAACATCTTGTGACTGACTTTATTCTGTGTGGTTAAGTCTGAAGACTTCCCGTGCCCAAGAGAAGGACGCCCTGAGGAAATTAGATCGTCTGAATTACTATGAGCAGCAAATTCAAATACTGCGGGATGAGATTTCTATCCTGGATGCCCAAAAATCTGTGCTCCAGAGCAGGTAGAGGCATTATTCAGAGAAGTCACTGAATCAGACAAATAGTTCACGTTAGGTAGCATGAATTCCCTCCACATTTTAAACTGAAGTATAAACAAAAGCTAAGCTTTTGTACTTTGTTATGAAGGAACATCAACTCTTTAACTGATTTCTCCTAGTGCCCAAATGTTTTAATTACAGACAGCTATGTTAAATTTCTCGCAAAACAGCAAACAGAGCAGCTCTACAAAATATATTGAGAGCAAGTGTATGGGATAAAAAAGATGGTTAGATTTTTTTGTTTATAAGTCCTCTTTGAATACTGCACCATTACAGGGCAGAACTTGCTGTTATATTCTCACTTGTTAGACTTTACAGCTCTTCAGTGGTACTCGAAAAAGGAGCAAATCTCCAAAGTATTACTAGTTGAAAGTGTATTTCCCCAGAACAAAGTCATTGGCTGTACACACTTTAAGAATTACTTTAATTTTCTTGTCCATAAAATGTGTTGCCACAAATGCTTTCATATCAGACTAACCAGCTGCAGCTTTACTTCTTTAATTATGTTGCCTCAAAATCTCAGCTTACCCTGGTAATCATTAAATTGACACAATATTCTCTGCACTAGGCAGAAGCATCTGAGGATGGTGAAGTGACCTGACGCTTCTTTACATGTGTGTCGTAGGCTTGCACGGAGCCGCTCTCCTTCCCCGAGACACAGTGAGCGGAAGCCACCAAGTCCACTTCTTCTGCGGAGCTGCTCCCCTGGCCGAGCCAGACGTACAAACGCTTCACGGCGCGCTGGCCTGGTAGCTCGCTTTGGTGACTTGTATGCTAGAGAACGCTTGGATGCAGAGACTTTTTTGAAGACATACATCAGTGACACAGAGACGGTGCAGAGGATTATATACATTGCAGCTGTGGTAAAAAAAAAATAAAAATATTGTTTTACAAACAGAAATGTTTTATAAAAAATTAAGGCTGTATTGGATTAAATTGTGCAGAAATTAGCATTTCTGTGAAGTACAGAAAACTTTTATTTTTTTGCTTTTGATTTTCCTTTCTTTCCTTCTTTTACATTGAACTCTCAATTTAGTGTCCTTTTCTGACTGTCCTGTCCCAAAATTAGAATGGGGTCAGTGATCTACAGTACAGGTGCTAAAAGGGGTGCATAAGAAGACTGAATGGCTCTGAAAGGTAGATGATTCCTGCACTGAACGCCACCACCTCATTTAGATGAATTATTTCAGGAATACTGCATTTTAGAAAGCTAAAAATCTTTCCATACCATGCTTCCCTCTTGCCTGTAGCCATGTGCTTTTCTAGTTTTATTGGGTCCCTTGAAATTAGCTAGATACCTCACGTTTACTGTGAGCTCAGTTTGAAGAAATATGTTTTCATTTTTCTGTACTTAAACTTCTATAAAATTGATGTAGTACATACCTGTGTCAGAGAGGCAGTGTGTCTCTTAATGTGTGTGATCCCAAGCACGTCCCAAAACTTACTAAAGTTTTTTTCCCCACAACTCTCCAGTTACACTCTCCAATTCAACCTTTCTTCCCAACAGACAAGAGGTGCTCCTGTCTGACATGTTAGGCTGTGGCACATAAAATGCAATTACTGAATTCTGCTTTTGATATCTTTGAATGTGATTCCATTGATCGTGGGTGTATGATGGAATCCTACATAAAATTAGAAGGTTAGGTGGAAAGCTTTTCAATCCTGTCTTCTGCAAATAAATCATGCTCGATTTAATCAGAGGAGTCCTCCCAGATGAGTACTGTTTAACTTTCACTTTTACAGCAGTGTTTTGTATTCCTCAGAATAATGATACTGGATTAAGTTCATCCTCTCGGATAATTGATAAAAAATTAATCTCAGTCTCCTGGATTTAACTAGATGTTCTTTATATTTGCAGGAGTCTTTTCACGCAGCAAAGATGGCCTACAGGCAGTTCAAAATACGTGTAAGAGAGACTCTGTCTATAGGTCACTCAGGGCCTGAGTCACTTGAAGACACTGTCCTGGATTATATAGTTCGTCATGAGGATCTGTATGACGTTCAAGCCAGTGTCAATGTAAGTCAAGGGCAGTGGGGAAGACGTGTGTTGATCTGTTTCAGTAGCTAATAAATTCAGAGTGTGTGAACTAGAAATGCACTGTAACGTGAAGAAGGGAAGAGGTTTATCGCATGGATTTTATGTCTTGTCGCAGTTTATTTTCCAAAATAGTATTGTGGTATGGTCTAGTAATCACCTGTTTTATTTGCCTGTGACTAGCATGTCTTTGTCTGCTGGAATAGTATTTTTGACAAGATGCAGTGTAACTGTCTTAGTCAAATATATGTAAGCTAAATTTCATATTTTCCTGAAGTCCTGTGCTCTGTTGAAAAACTGCATCTCCCTCCTAAGACTGATGTCAATGATGTGGCTTATTCTTTATTTCTAAAGTAACAGCACATTCTTTCTGAAGGGAATATTTTCTGGATAGCTGAAGACAACATTGCTGGGAGCTTCTTTTACTGATTTTTAAATGTAGAAAGCTGAGAGCCATATTTAGGAAAGATTTCCATACTTGCTTGTGAATAAAAGTGTTAGTGAGCTCAAATTATTCAATTGTGTTTATTTTCAGGAAGTAGTTCGAGCCATGAACATCAACCCGAAGATTTCATTTCCACCAGAAATTGATTTCATTGTGATCAGCACTTTGATTCGAGAGTTGTGCCGTGTTGCTTTTTCAATGCAGACACTCATTCCTCCTCTTGATATTGCCTTTGGTACTGATGGAGAACTTTACAGTGAGACCAAGTAAGAACTCTTTATTTTCAGTCAGGTTCTGACTATTAAAATGTGTTGGATCTGGCTGAGATGGAGTTAATTTTCCCCATAGCAGCCCTCAGAGTGCTGTGTTTCATACTGGTAGCTAGAAAGGTGTTGATAACACACCAGTGTTTTGGTTACTGCTGAGCAGTGCTCGCACAGCACCAAGGCTGTCTCTCCAACATTCCTTCCTCACCCAGTAGGCTGGAAGTGGGGAGGATATTGGGAGGGGACACAGCCAGGACAGCTGACCCAAACTGACCAAAGGGAGGTTCCGTACCATATGATGTCTGGTCAGAAATAAAAGCAAGGGGAACGGAGAGGGAAGGGGGGGACATTTGTTATTTACAACGTTTATCCTCCAAAGCAACCGCTATGTGTACTGAAGCCCAGCTTCCTGGGAAGTGGCCGGACATCGCCTGCTAATGAAAAGTAGAGAGTAAATATTTTGTTTTTCCTTTGCTTCCGCGAGTGACCCTTGCTTTGTACTTTTGTGAAACTGCCTTTATCTTGATCCATGAGTTCTTTTTTTTTCCCATCTTATTTTCTCCCCTCCCCATTCTGGTGAGGAGGGGGGGGTGATAGAGCAGTTTGGTGGGAACCTGGCATCCAGTCAAGGTTAACCCGCTACATAAAAAAATTGATCAGGTTGTATAGTCTACTTCTTTCCTAATTAATATAAAGGTTTAAGATTGACGTTAAACATTAATTTGGGGCAAATATTCCTGGTCTGTAGTGAATTTGGTATGTCTTCAAGGTTTATGATGGTATATAAACGCCAGGATGTAAGACCAATGTTAACACCTTTTTTCTAATGAAGAGCAGAGCAATTTTCTAGATGAACCTCAGTCTCTAGTGCATATTTAATTTCTCCTTTAAGAAGAAAATTATGATCAGCTTTTCTTTCCCTGTTTAGTCTCTCTCTGCCTCCAGTGTTTATAATATGTGTGCATCTTTGTTCCCCCTTTCTGTCTCATTTTGTAAAAGTCATGTTTATGGAGATCTGGCATTTGGTGCCTGATATCAGGATCATCAAGATGTGTGCTGTGACCTCCAGGCTGTGGCTGCTATACCACATAGGATCTTAATACACTCCCATCTCTTCTGGTTTAGAGCTGAGCAAGAAGAAAAATGCCTTTTAAAAATGGGAATTTTGTTTAAAAAATGCACACTGTAACATAGTTTTGTTTTTTCTGTAGGGTCGGGGCTGGCTGCTTTATTAGGTGGCAGAGGACTGTAGGGTACTTCCATGCTCTCAAAAAAACTAATGTTCCAAAAACATTGCTCTCAAAAGCAAGAAAAGCCACACCAATAAGGACATTTTTAATAGTAATTTAAACCAGAATGGAACCCAGGTGGGGAAGAGCATGAGAAGCAAAGGAGAGAAATAGAGAAGATAAAAGTAGCCCTTCAACAGGAGAGTGCAAAGTCATGCATGACTGCTTAATGATCCTGTCCAAATACTGGGCAGTTCCCTATATGATACCCAAAGCTACTGGCTGAATTAAGAAGGCAGCAATGTTATAGCCTTTGATGCTTTCTCCACCTACTTGATGTGTGTGATCTTCAAAAAACAGGTGTAATGTGTTTGTATGTGTTGCTGTGGGAGATATATATACACATCTACCCATCTATATAGATAAATGTGACATATATATGTTTACCTGTATAGCATGTATATGTGGTACACAGAGATAGAGCAAAATTTGTAGAAATTAACATAGCTGTTAGTTTTGTGTGATACCATTCTATAAAAAGGCTGGCCAAACCTCACTCTTTGGTATATCTTCCTCCACGCTTCATGCCTCTGTTTACAACATTTTTTTAATATAAGTTGCTGTTGTATATACATTGCTAATGTATAGATGCATTGTCAGTGGACCCAAGGACCTTGGCTTGTGTGAGGCTTATGCGAGAATATGGTCTAGTGGCCTCTTGAAATGTGAGATGGCTTTATTGGAGTGTCTCAGTATAAGCAGACGGTATGTTCTGCTGAGGCTGTCTTACAAACACATTTCTTTTACAGGTTCACTTCGAGAATCCTTATTTTTGTGATACGGAAATATTGTTAAGAAAGATGTTTGTGAACTGTAACTAGTATTCTGCTTTTTATCAGCATGGATGACTTGAAGCGTCGTATTTATCTTTTGACATATACGTGCAGGCATTTCTTGTGCTCTGTGTTTCAACAGGTACCATCGTAGTTTTGACTCTGATTTCACAGCTGCCCTGGTGGCCTATCATGTGTGGCCTGCTCTGATGGAAAATGATGTTGTAATTGTGAAGGGAGAGGCTGTTACAAAAAGAGGAGCTCTGGTACGTACTCTTGTTAAGGAACATGTTAAGGGAAGTAATTGGATTTAAAGACTGTTTTAAAATTTAAAAAGATAAATTCTTGATGGTTGCCTGCATGGTTGGAGTTGTGTATTTCATATATCAGTTAGGTTTTAGTGCCTCATCCTGTGTTTAGGATGAATAGTTCCATTTGCCTTTATGTGTTCATTATGCAGATGTATGATTGTTGGCAGAGCCTGTTTTAAGGACAAAGTTTAGTGTGCTTACTCTGTGTCCTCAAGCCTTGTCTCCAGCATGGCAAGTCTGCTTGCTGAGTCTGTCTTTGTGAAATGCCCTCTCTCAAAAGAGGTTTGTCAAACTGTTCTCTTGCAGTGGTCTTCCAGGAGTAGGAGTAGAAGCAGAAGCCGAAGCCGTAGCACCAGTCCTCTTCTATCTCGTCATGTAAGCCTTGTCTGAATGCTTGTAATATAAACAGCATCAAGAATTTTAAACTCAGAATGTAGGTGTCCCGATCCGATATCGGGGATAATT